GTCAGGCCCCTGCGCTCGGCCCTGTGACATTGGAACGCTGAGCTTCAAAGAAACTGGCAATGGGGTTTTTTTGAACTGGTTTTAGGAACGCTTACGGCCGGTGGAGGACTGGTGGCCTCCTGCCCTGCTGTTGGTCACACAGATCCAGTCCCGACACAGCCAGGATCGCTCGGAAGGCGTCCCCTCCTTTTAAAAAATGGCTGCACATGTGAGCTCTCCACAGCGATCTGGAAAAAGCGAGTTTTGGAGTAACAAAAATACACGTTCCTACATATAGCCATTGCTTTGATGGTTGCAGGACTCACACACAGGGCAGAATAATATTTCATCTGTCGGGGAAATAGGCACAAGCTTGCTAAGCAGATGTGGAATCAGCTGGGAAAGTTTCAGAATCCGCTTTACTCTCCAAAAATATCCAGATTTCAGACCAAAGTCTTACCTAGATTAAGTGGAATCGCAGCATCTGAAGAGACACGTTATTTGCTGCCCCAAATGTCAGTCCTTTCCCAAACACACTCCTGCTCCATATTTTAAATTATAGTAAAATCATAGAGTCACGGAATGGTTTGGGTGGAAGGGACCTTAAAGATCATCCAGTGCCCCCCCCTGCCATGGGCAGGGACACCTTCCACTAGCCCAGGTTGCTCCAAGCCTCATCCAGCCTGGCCTTGGACACTTCCAGGGATGGGCCATCCACAGCTTCTCTGGGCAACCTGTCCCAGTGCCTCCCCACCCTCTCCAGGAAGAATTCCTTCCCGATGTCCCATCTCCATCTCCCTCTTTCCGTTTAAACCTGTTACCCCTTGTCCTGTCACTCCCTGCCCTTGGGAAAAGTCCCTCTCAGGTTCCTTGTAGGCCATTAAAGGGTGTGCAGTGAAAAAACCCCAAGCTTGTGAGCCCTTTGATAAACAAAACAACAAAACCCTCCACTGGACTGCCCAAATCCTTCTCTAACACCAACCTACTTCTTTCTGCGCAGGGTCCCCGGACGCAGCGAGGTGTCGGTCCTGCCCACCGCTGGCCGTCCCGGTGCTCAGCCGTCGTGCCGCGGCGTTACACCCGCGTTCTCTTCCAGATACCCTCGCCCCTGCCAAACACCCGCTGTGACGGAGGACGGATAAACCACCGGCCCCCAGGATCGCAGCAAGGCTGACGGCAGCGGAGGGTCGGTACCTTGGGTGAGGTCCTTGTCCGCCGCCGGGCGGGATCCTCTTCCACCCCTTGGAATGAAGGGCCAAGCAGTAATAAGCAATTAAAAATCAGGCTGAGCTTGGAGCTCGGTGAGCCCCGTTTGGGCTCTTTCACCCTGTATGGCAGGAAAGCTCAATTTGCTGCGCGAAATGT